CACACATAAAAGTCACAAAGTTCAAGTACGACACAGTTCATATCCGAACAGATAAACATGTCAGCAGAAGGCCTCATAAAACGGAAAACTGTTTTTTTTTTTCATGCTCATTAAGGTGAGGTTAGAGACAGCAGTCTAAGCAGAGGAGCCAGACCTCCCCCTACAACTTCAGTAGCTGTTGAAAGGATAAAGTTGTGGTGTACCAGTGGTTAGAAATACTATTATTACTTTAGTACTACTTTAACACAAAGTCAGCGCTGACCAGGGACCATTGCTGCGAGTCACACTGCGCAGCATAAAGGCCCTTTGACAACAGACGTGGCAGCTAAGGATCCAAAATTTGTTGCACTGACCGCTGCACTCTGTCGTTTTTTGCACCAGTTCTAAGTGTACTAGATGCGCCTGCTCCTTGTCGTTTCAAAGCATGGATCTCTCTGACTTTATATCCTCTACAAGAGTTTGTGTTGTATTATCTTTAAATGTTCAATAAAAACATGTATCGCACATTCACAACGAAGAAAGCTTTGTAACTATCCCGACCAGTGAAGAGTGTGTCATTTCCACAATACAGCTTTCCCTCTGAAGTCCACAGAGCTGTTGAAAAGGCTCTGGAGGTCCCTGTGTAAGCACGTAAACCTGTGACAAAAAAAATTAACTGAACTCTGACATACACTGAATGTTTTCATTCATGGTGATGAAGGAAAACGCTGGCACGTGAAAGGGCATTTACCCTTCCAGGACCTGATGTAAAGCAGTAAAGCACCCCACTAACAGCCAAACTCATCTGTTCTCTGATTGGATTGTTACGTTTGTGATTTACATGACATTGCCCAATCAGCTGAAAGGAGGAAAAATTGGGTCAAAATTTGTACTCGTAAGTTGAAACTCACACACAGCCAAGGAAGTTGAGTGCAGAGTTTTACGCATATAGTTTTTTTGCTTTGTATTTGTAACCAGACCTTAACAAAAATAAATAAATAAATAAATTTTGTTAAAATTCCTTTTAACAGGAAGAAAGCAGAAGCAGGCTGAGGGAGGGGCGACCAAGGGGTGAGGGGAAAAGAAGAGAAGAAAAGCTGGAGATGTCAATCACAGACCTCAGACTGCAGTGTCTCCACCCTGTCCTCCAGCTCTCAAGTTTCAAGGCTGCTCTTCCTGTTCTCGGTCACTTTAGAATAGCACTAATTTACCATCTGCATCCTGTCCTCCAGCTCTGCCCGGAGCTGCTGCTTCTCCTGCCTCAGACCCTCCAGGATCTCCTGCAGCTCGTCTCTCTCCTCGCTGACATGGAGCTGTCACACAGACCTCAGACTGCAGTGTCTCCACCCTGTCCTCCAGCTCTGCTCGGAGCTGCTGCTTCTCCTGCGTCAGACCCTCCAGGATCTCCTGCAGCTCGTCTCTCTCCTCGCTGACAGACGTCACTCTGCACAGCAGCTTCTCCATCTCCTCTGTGACAACACCTCCCAGTGAAAACTAGGATCTACGGACTCTAGAAGACCGACTGAGAACCTCCTGAGGTCAGAAAGTATTGTATTGCTGTTAGCAGCGTGGAATAAGACAGGGACACGTTCGTCACCAGTATTATTCCTTACGGTCACATGGATGGTTGGAAGGACAGAAAGACATCAATCCAGTGGACAAGGTGAATACCAGCGAGTCTTACAGTAATAAACAAATACATGAAGTACAGTAGAAAGTGTTAAAATGAAGTTTCTGAAGTGCCTTAATGCTGTGCCTTATATTACCCAAAATGTCATATAATAATCATATAGTATAGTATTGAGTGGATGCAGCCCTGAGAATAAATAAGAAGAGAAGAAAAGCTGGAGCTGTCAATCAGACCTCAGACTGCAGCATCTCCACCCTGTCCTCCAGCTCTGCTCGGAGCTGCTGCTTCTCCTGCGTCAGACCCTCCAGGATCTCCTGCAGCTCGTCTCTCTCCTCGCTGACAGACGTCACTCTGCACAGCAGCTGCTCCATCTCCTCGGTGGAGGTCTGAGTGCTGAGCTCCTTCTCAGACAGCAGACTGTCTCTCTCTGCTCTCACACTCTCCAGCTCCTCAGTCAGTCTCTGAATCTGTGCAGAAACACAAAGGTCAGTCCAAACTGTGACTTTAAACAGTGAAAGACATGAAAATGGTGGCTGAATGTAACAAAGGGATGCACACAGTAAAACTGCTGACTGTACACATGTTAGAATAAAGCAAGTACAGAAAATTAGTCCTGCCTGGTCTGTGAGCTCTTGTAACTGGAGGGTACTGCCTGCATCTTTGCCACTGCTCGGTCTGCTCTCTGTCTGTTCCTTCTGAAGCAACAGGGCATCTCTCTCTGCTCGGGCGCTGTCAAGCTCCTCAGAGAGGGTCGTTAACTGTTAAAGGGAAGGTACCCAAATTATTGTTGTAGACAAAAGAGCAAATTTAAAAACTTCATTCATTAATGATGAATGTTATTCAATGTAAGTCACCTGCTGTGTGAAGTCCACTTCCTTTTGCTCATAGAGTTGCACACGATCACACAGCTTTTGTTTCTGCTCCTTTAGCTCCTCTTGAAGACACTGAAGTAGACTGTTGGTCTCCTCGACCTGAAAGTAAGAAAACATGGTCAATTACCTCCAAGGCACAGCAGTTATCCAGCTTAGTATAACATGTTGCAGGGAACAAACCTGTAGTTTCAGCTGAGCCTGCGTTTCTTGGTCAACTCTTTCGAGATCGCAATTTTTATTTTGTTCTTTGAGCTGCTCTTGAAGGGAATGCATGAGACTTTGAGCCTCAGCAGCCTAAAAATAAAAGGGGAAAATAATGTATTTGTTCAACAAATGAAAGACAAAATGTTTGACACTCCCAGTGTGACCAAAAACAAAACCCTCACCGTGACTGTACTACGCTGCAGATCACCCTCCAACTGGCTCTTCTGCTCTGTGACAGCCTGTAGAGCACCCTGCAGCTGCTCAATCGGGGAAAGGAAAGAGCAAGGCTTTTGTTTATTTCTTGCCCCCGAACAGGCAGGTTTGCATGCTGTTTGCTAAGCGACATTTTTCTTATTGTCAAAAAAAAAATCTCAAGATAATGTTTCAGTCTACTGCTAAGCAAACACATGCCTGTGTTTAAAAAGGGGGTGGAATCAATAAATAAATGGACTGATTACAAACCATCTCCACCCTGTCCTCCAGCTCTGCCCGGAGCTGCTGCTTCTCCTGCCTCAGACCCTCCAGGATCTCCTGCAGCTCGTCTCTCTCCTCGCTGACA